AAAATAAATCTATTTAAAAAAAAATAGAGATTCTTTTTGTCTTTTTTTAAAAATAAAAACAATTACAAAATTAAAAAAATAAATAATTAATTAATTAAAAATAAATACAATTTAAAAAATAGCAGAGATTCTGAGCTAAATTCAGAAGCTGTGTTTGCCTTCAGGCAGCTACAATAATAAAACTCTGCTTCCAAAGTGAATAACCCAGAAAAAAATGAACTCTTATCATGTATTAATTAAAGTGGATTGGATTGGATGAGATTGTTCTTTCTCTGTGTCCAGGCTCTGGAGGCCCAGGACCAGGAGAAGAACCGGCTCAGCCTCCCCCAGCCGAACCCGTCCGGTTCCCCCCGCTCCAACCGGACCCCCGCCACTCACCCCCCGGCCCCCCCCCCCCCCCCCCCCCCCCCCCCCCCCCGGCCCCAGACGCCCCCCCCACCGGCGGGGACCCGGGCCCAGAGGGCCCCCCCGTAAACGGAGGAACGGAGCAGGTCACGCCCTCAAAAGGTGCCAAACGGAGTCCAAACGGAGTCCGAGTTAGACGAGTAAAGTCTGGATGCAGTCTGTAGGAGCTTCGGGTGGATATCCGACTCCTCCCACATCCGAGTCGGCCATTTTGATTAGGTCACGTGACGAGCAGCTTTCTGAGGTGGAAAGGAAAGTTTGCTGTCTATATGAAATCGGAAGAGAAACGACGTCCAAATCCTAAACCTATACCTATCCCTGACCCTAACCCTAAACCTGACTCTAACCCTAATCCTAATTCTAACCCTGACCCTAAACCTAACCTAACCCTAACCCTAAACCTAACACTAACCCTAACCCTGAACCTAACTCTAACCCTGACCCTAACCTTAACCTTAACCTTAACCCTAATCCTGACCCTAAACCTAACCCTGACCCTAACCCAAAACCTAACCCTAACCCTGACCCCCTTAACCCTAAACCTAACCCTAACCCTAACATTGACCCTAACCCTTCATAATTGTGAGAAATAAATATTATTTGGTTTAACTTGTTTGGTTCGGTTTAACTTATTGTACAAACCTATTTAACATCCACTATTTTAACATTATATTATGTATAGAGTTTAATTAAGTGTTTGCAAGATTAATTTCACTATTTTTATTTATTTGTCTATATGGCCATGAAGCTATTAGGATTTTCTTGCCTGGGATCTTCCTATTGGTGACCTAATCAAAATGGCCGACTTGGATGTGGGCAGTGTTGGATATCCATCCTTGGCTTCCTGCAGTCTGCAGCCAGACGGACTTGATTAATGTTGGCGTGTTGTGATTAGCCATTAGCAGCATCTAGCAATTCAAGGCTAACGTCATGTTGATGATCAGAAACTACGTAAATAAATAAATAAATCAGAGAGAAGTGGTATCGATACTTTTGAAAATGACTATCTTATACAACGTTTATCAATACTTTTGACAACCCTAGTTCCATTATGAGGGCCAAAGCGTGGCGAGCGCCCCTCTCATTGTTTTTTTTTTTTTATTATTATTTCTGCTCGATACAGATTCGGTGTTTGAGGAGGAAAGTGCCGAAGAAACCAACAAACCGGGAAACGGTTCCAGTCCAGCGGAGCCGGCCGATGGAGGGACGGGTATGCTCCAACCTCTCGTTTGAGCTCCGGGTTTGGGCTCATTTTGAGCTTTTCTGAGCTGAATAATAACCAAATTGTAATGGCTAATAAATACCTTTTCCTTGCCACTCTTGCAGGACGTGAAGGATTTGACTCGTAGACGGTTAAAAACGTACGCGATCCAATGTAAAAAAATTACTCGTTTATTGCGAATGTGAACTTACAAAAACTTGCCAACATAAATAAAATAATTAACTTCACGATAAGAATAAAGCAAAAAGTCAACCTTACAGTGAGTAAAAACCCAAAACGTGAATCTTACGGTCAAAAAACTGTTGCTCCTCGCCCTGCTCTGTTACTTTTCCTTTCGTACTCACATCAAAGGAGCCTCATGAAAATGATCTATCAAATATCAAATGCGGAAAAACAATACAAAATAAACCCAAATGTCTATCAGTATACTAAACATTCTACATTCTTCACAATTAAATTACAATATTTTCCTCACTATAAGGCGCACCTAAAAAACTCAAATTATCTCAAAAGCCGACAGTGCGCCTTATATTCCAGTGCGTCTCTACTGTAGCGTCTATTGTATGCGCCTTATAATGTGGTGCGCCTTGTTTATGGACACAGTTTTAAAATAGGTCGTTCATTGAAGGTGCGCCTTATAGTGCGGAAAATACTGTATTCTAATCAGCTGATAATAAATCACAATATCTATATGGCTCTAACACAAATAATAATGATTCTCTGTTCCAGTTGAGCCCCCCAGGGTCCGAACGGAGGGCCAGCAGATGAACGGCATCATCGAGGACCGAACCTCCGTTTCCTCCACAGACATCCTGGTGAGCATTTTACACCATTTACTGTGTCTGAAGAAAATTAATTTAAATTAAAAAAAAAATTAAAAAAA